GGCAAAAGGTGTTAATAAGGCCACCCTCTTCTTCTTCTTGGCCATTCTCGTCATTTCTATTCCATGCCTACAAGCTAACACTACCGACTACAATGATTACATCATTAAACGATCTAAAGAAGCTCGTAGAGGTGGCCTTCAAGCCTACGAGCCTGACTCCTTTAATATCACCTCTGAACTCAATCTCTATGTTCACTGTTCAAGCGAACATGGAGCCAACGACCAGATCACCAAAGGCACTAGCATTTCCTTGTTCATGGTCACCAACATCATCATCCACAATATTCGCATCCATAATGTCGTGCCCAAGCTGGGTGGTCTCATTAAGGACTCCACTTACCACATTGGTACGAGAATCGAGAGCAATAGAGTGACATCTTCATCTTCGGCTCCCCTAACATTTGGATCGATCATGTTTCAATGTCTAGAGCTGCCAATAGCCTTGTCAACGTCATCCAAAGCTCTACCGACATCATCATCTTCAACCGCCACATGACCAATCACAACGACATAACAATATTAATATCCTTACATGCATGAGAGAGAAGCATATGAAATTCAACTAATAGATGAAGAATGAGGAAGTGGGGGAGACAAGGGCTCATAGACATGAAGTGAGAGTAAATAAAAGGAGAAAGGCAATAGTTGGACGTGGGGGAGGGATAGGGGAGAGGAGGGAGGGGGAGAGGGAGGAGGGAGGAGAGAGGAGAGGATAAAAATATAAAAAAACTAATGTGGGGCCCACTATGTAATATTTTATAATAAAACATATCAAAAAATTTTATAATAAAAAATAAAAAGTGAGCCCACTAATAGAAAAATTAACAAACAAAGCGATAGGTTGATAAAATAAAAAAAATCTTTAAGGTTGAGGGATGAAAATAACTTATAATTGAATTTAAATTATTTGTAAACTTTCATGTCAACTTCAAAAATATTTTTGACCCTTAAACCTTTAATGTATAGTAAGGTACTAAATGTAAAGACCTTTTTTAATAAAAATTTACTTTTAATTTGTGATGTTGTAAGAGATTAACCTCTTTTACTATATCAAACTGATTTATCTTTGGATATTATGAATTGACATTGGAAGTCAAACAACATGCATTTGATTTGGGCATTAGGGTCTTAATGCTCATCCATGGAACAGATGATTTGAAAGTTAAAACCTTGGATTACCTAAATTTAATGCCTGACGGCACATTGAATAAAATTACATTTAATAGTAAGATACTTGTGTGTAATCAAACAAAAAGTTAAAACCTTGGATTTATTTTATCAATTAAAAATGTGATTATATTTTAGATCTTTCATCAGATTAATTTCTTTTAATATAGTAACAAATTTGTTACGTACGCCCATAAAAATAAAGATCAATTGACTTAAATATCAAATTTATGTAAAATCTCTTCAAAATTTTAATTTAAACTTTTTAGCCAATTAAATGAAACTAAAATAGAACTAGACTTAAACTTTTATCTATCCTTAAATAGAATTTTTTTTATACAGTTTACTTAAACTTTTTTAGGGGTAAAATTTATAATAGTCTTAAGTCTTGATTTTTTTTTTTTGGGCCCAATCCAAGTCTTGATCTATAATATTACGAATATTTGAAAAAAAAATGCCATACTGGATCCGCAATACAACATGCCTATAATGTTCATAAGTTGTCTTCACAGGTTAGTATTGTTCAAATCATTACAACAAAGTATGACATTTTTAGGTGAGAGCGAAGATTTCATTAATTAATAAGTGATGCCACTTTATTTGTGTATATAATTTGTTTTAGTATTCGTGTTATATAATGTTTAGAATATTCAAGACTTATTTTTACTTTTCCAAGAGTAGATTTGGTATGTTTGCATGTGCGTATATGTTGATCATGTGTACTTATATCTTTATTCTTAAATAGAATAATGAAATTTTTAGTCTCCTAAATTTATTTTAATTATTAATTTGATTCATTAAATTTAATTTTTATCGATTTAATCTATTATGTTTTCTTAAATTATTATGTGAGTTCTTTAAATTTTAAAATATAAATTAATTTTTAAAATAATTTAATATGTAAAATATATTATGGACTATTAGTTTTATTTTTATCAATATAATCCCTTATATTGTATTTTATTCTATTATTTTTTAAAATTTTAGAGTCTTTTTTTTCCTTACCTAGATAGTCATACTTCTTTTCATTAATTTACATGATTGTCATCAATATTTTATTTTTTATATCAACAATTCTAATAGTATAACTTCTTTTTTAAAATAATAAGGACCAAACTAACAACATAAGTAAATTTAGGTGACTGAATTGATAAAAATTAAACTTGCAAAACCATTTGGATAACTTAAAAAAATTTCAAGGACTAAAAGTTGCATTGTCCATTATAAAATCTTAAAAGTTACTAAGCGTTATAATTTAATAAAATATGCACTTCCTTTGATCCTTAATATAAAATACTTTTAACCATTTTATTCATCTTAAGAAAAATTATTTTTTTTCTTGATATTATAAAAAAGTGAGATATACTTTCATTTTTATCTTTAGTTTTAAATAATAATACAATTATATTAAATAACCTCACAATAATTATTAAAAAAATGATTTAATTATTACAAGGTATCTTATATTTTAGACTAAAAATTATTTTTAGAATGTGTCTTATAAATAGAATCGGAGGGAGTACTTTTTTAGTCACTAATACACACAATACACAGTGTTTTTAAACATTTCATTAATTATTCTTTCAAATGTGTATACAATAACTGTAGTCTCTTAATGAATCCACTTGGTTCATTTGAAATCCGTTGACATTAATGAAATGTTTGGAAGAGATGGGAGAATTGCATTTGAAATGTGATGAAGCGAACGCTTAGTAAATTTTTTTTTTTCTTATCAATAACAACTAACATTAACATAACAAGCAAACAATACAAATTTCAATCAAAAGAACTAAGCATCATAATTAAAAGGGGTTAATGAGCAAAATGGACTTTGAAATATTGCACGAGAAGCACCTTAAATCCTGAACCTTTAAAATATGCAAAATATATCATAAACTTTTTAATTCATAATAAATTAAACCCTACCATTAATTTTTTGTTAACACTGTTACTATTCGCCATTATTGTTTGCAATGGGCACCATTCAAATGCCAACGTGACAGTCCCTTACTGATGTATCATTTATTAATTAGCACCACAGATCCAATACTATTAAGAGAGTAGCATCTTAGATTTTAAACTTTAAAATTTTAAGCAAATCTCCCCCATTGTTTATCTATAAAACATTGACTATTATGCAGATCAAATTAACCTTAATGTAGTTCACCGTAATAAATGTATCATTGGCTGTGGCGAATAATTCATAATTTTGTAAAATAATGTTTTTTTCACCCTCATTGTTTATGATGAACAGTAACAGCATTAACAAAAAGCTAACAGTAGGGTTTAATTTGCTATGAATTAAAAGTTTAGAGTCCATATTACTCATTAACCCTAATTGAAAATTTAACTTTTAATGATGATTTCAACAATGACTTTTTACTTTTTACAATTGTCATTGAAAGTGTGATTTTTAGTGGCAACTTTAGTTGTCATTGAAAATGGTTAAATTTTTAGCAATAATTTTTTATAGTCATTGTTGAAAATCTTTTTTTTTTTAATAGTGCAAGTTAAAACATATTCTTAGCCCACCCATACGAATTGACATAAAATGGTTTAAAATTCAAAGATTCACAAGACAACTATCATATTGGGCTTAGTTCATCTCTTGATGCTTCCCTATTAGTCTCCTTTTATTATTCACATGAGGCAATTGAAAGTTTTAAAAAATAAAACAGAAGTAAAGAAAAGAAACAAAAAACATATTGTGATGTGTGTGCATCAGTGAGACATAGAGGGAGGTATAAGGAGAAAAACCAATTCCATGTTAAATCAGCAATAGACGTAGTTCTGAGTTCTTTTAAAATAATTTGAAGTAGCCTTGAATGGTGTACAATTTGTATCAAGGAGATCTTTCGATACTTAGAGACTAATTGAGTAACTATAGTTGAGTAAAATTTCTCATAATTAAGACATACAATCATCCTGGCCCCAAAAAAAAAAAAAAAAGACATGAATCATCATCTGTTTCTCGCCTTTGTTGACATTGCATATCACTAGTATGTTGATTGTTAAAATAATTATATGAAGACCCCTCCCTAACTTCGAGGATGGCAGTTAATCTTTGAGTCCTTGTTGTAAGAAATGTTCACCTATAATAATAGAAATAGATTTAGAGTCCAATGGTTGGAAGGCCAAAATCCATTTTAAACTATTTTACAAATAAAAATTAAAATTTTTACTAAAAATTATAAGATGGATGTTTAATACTATCTTCTGTTTTAAGGGGTAAGAACTCCAGCTTGCTCCTTAAATACATCATTGTTTAATGCTATCTTCAATTAGATGATAATAATTAGAAAAAAGATGGATGTGTATTTTTATTTTTAAAGTATTTTTTGAGAAGCATTCAGCACTATAAATTATTAATTGAAGTAATTTTATTTTTAAAGTAATTAAAACAGAATATTTTTACTCTTTTTATTAAATTTTAAGTGTCAAAATGCATTTTTACTAAAAAATAAAAAGCGTCTCTCCTTTTCTACCGTTTATGGCTCGTGAAAAAAAGACACATTTGGATGATTAGTCAAATTACTCAAATTAATATACTATTAATCACATTTAGCTATTATTTACAATCAAAGTAATTTTCTATTCAAATGAAAAATTTATAAAGATGTGGGATCAAAATTCATCTAATGCATATATTTCTCTTTCAAGATATTTGACTAATCAGTCAACAATTAGATGAACGGGCAAGACAACTGGCAACTAGCAAGCATAGTCAATGACGTGCTTGTTCTTCCCTTCCCATATGAGCTCCTAATTTAGGTTTGAACTTTGAAGAAGAAATTTGAGTTTCATTTCATTTCATTTTAAATTAAAAATGGCCGGCCTCGCATCCACCAAGATCCGCGACGCGCTCTGTCCGAGCGTGGGGATTTCATCGCTCTCTGTTCACAACTCGTACAAGTTCCCCCCGCAGACCAACTAACAACGGAGACGTTTCTGTTTGGATTTATGCTCTCGCCGAGCAAATTTCTGGGTTTTGCCCCGTCAAAACCCTTGATTCGTCCCCATTCTTCCAAGGTATTGTCACACTACTTCCCGCTTATTCTTTTCCAACTTCTTTAGCTCTTCTGAAATAGAAATATGCTTGCTATTTTCGTGTTTTTTTTTTTTACCATTCAACTCTTCTTCTCTGCAGATTCGTCGTTCTCTTTTTTCGCTGTTTTGTTTTCTTCCCAGTATTTAGTTGTATTTTCAGATTGTGGGTCTTTTCTTATCGTTATTTTGTAAAAATATATTATCTTCTTTATTCATATTTCCGTTTTGGTTGGAATTGTTTGTTTTCAAGAAGCGCTCTTGATTTCCTCCTTGTGAATGCGCACAATGCATATAGGAAGAAACGTCATTCGCTATATGTTCGCCTTTGTCATGCTCTGAATTGTTTCTTTACGTCAAATTTGTGTTATATGTATCTCTATATTGTTAATTTTTCCGTTTTTAGAATCGTTTGTGCTATTTATGGGAAAAAAAAAAGCAATTTATTAGTATTATTAATATTAATACTATTTGCGATAATTGTGCATTTTGGATTTGGTGGGAGGGTTTTTTTTTTTTTTGAGTTTATTAATAATTTGCCTGAGACCTCACTGTTTATGTATGAACGGGTAGAAAATATTGTAGTTGTGGAGTTTGATTTATGTTTTAAATAATAGAGAGCATATTATAGTTTGAATCATTTGCATTGATATCCCTATCCCACATTTTAATTTCATATGCTTTTGGAATATGGCGTGCGATTTACAAGCCACCTTCTGTCATTGGAGCATTTGAATTGCCAGTGCAGCCATGAAAAATTGTAGGTCTATGTTTGTTAAAGGAAAAACAGGCTTGACAGATCAAATACAATTTTTCATTCTACATAAATTGCCTAATAGTTTTTCGTAATCTTTGAAATTTTAAACTGATAAATATGGTAATTATTTTTCTAGGGCAAAGTTCTCTCTCTTTTCTTTTGGTCATCAGTAGTTTTCTTAAAATCTGCTAATATTGTTCTTTTTACTTTCCTTGGTGTAATATTGTGAGATTTTATTTAAAAATTTTCTTTTTATATGTTTATGAGAATCTAATCGTTTCATGATTTGACAATGGCATTTTACATTTAAAAAATATTTTTCCATGGAACCATTGTATCTTCCTTATTACAAAAGTACACTGATCATATTTACAATTCAGATTTTACAATTTGTAGCAGCTCATAAAGCCAAATGGTTGAATCAGATGTAGTCTTGATCATATGATCCAAAATTTGAATAATATGATTTATAATGAGTCTCAGATCCAATTATATTAATTGATGGCTGAGTTGGCGTTGAATTAGTTGACTCAAGCTAATATGGCAAAATAGCTTCAGTTTTAAAATTTAGATACGTCTGAAAACTGTTTGTTGATTAGTGTTGTCTATTTCTCTTATAAAGAAAGAAAAGAAAGAAGCTACTTGAAATTATTTCAAAGCTTTGTTACAACCACATTATATAACTAATAAGCTTATTTATGACTTATGGTTGAGCACTTTTCTTAACTCCTGGGGTTAGATTTACTATCTTTCATATTTTATGTATGGGTGTATATGCCATACATATATTTCAAGCTGTTTGTCATTTTTTATTTAATTTGAGGATTTGGTACATTTTACAATTCACGATTTATGAATATGCTTGGTGCTTTGTGATATATATCAAGATTAACTACAATGATGCTGATGATACCATTTCTTTCTTGATCAGATGAGGGCCATTTGGCTATAGTGTTTAGCACTTTCAAATGGAATTAGAAGAAAAGTTCCTTGTTAAAGGTATCATGTTTAGCTTCTTATTGAGATTTTTCTTTCAATAGTTAGAGTAAATTTTTTCTTATTTGTTGTCTATGTGATTTTGAGTCTGTGTTAGGTGTAGTAACCTTAATGTGCATATGAAATTGATCTTTTTGATCATTGAAGCATGGTTTAGAATATAGATGAAATTGCACATTGGGGAAGATGAATGACTGATCTTATATGTTTTTTGTCTCCATATGATTTGTGTCTGATGAATGTGTTATTTCCCCACTATCAAACAAGCTACTGCTCATTTCAGAATATGTGGAACCATGTAATTTCTTCTTCGTTGTCTTTTATAGCCTGATGATTGGCCTTTGAACTATTTTTGAAAGGGAAAAGAAATCTAGGGTGAAAATTTTTTATAATGTGGTAAATAAAACTATATAATGATACGATTGATATACCTTGTGTGTGTGTCCTTGAGATTAAATGTGATGTATGGCATTTCCATACAGTCAAGAATTAACAATATCAGAATAAGTTTGCAAGTTTGTAGTGCATACTGAGCACTTATGATAGTTATTGTGTGTTGTCCTCTTTGACTTTACCCCTCCATCTATAGGACTTCTGATTTGTGCTTATGGCTTCATGAAGATAATATCTGGCAGCCTTCCCTGTCATTCTTTTTATTTTTGAAATTATGTAATGCTAAAGAGTAAAACTTAGCTTGTCTATGGAATATGGAGCTGTTTTGTTTAGTGTAATCTATAAGCTATTGCTGAGGGAAATACGAGAAGTTATGTGGCATGAGAGCTTCTATATTCAATTCCTTTTTAACAATGAACTGATTGATGATAAAGATGTTTGCAAATCCAATCTTTCATTTTTTTCATCAACAGGGTATTTGTTGATATTTTCTGGTCATTTTACCTGGCAAAAGATTGTGCTGTGTATAATATTGCATTTTTGATGGCTGGGGTAGCTGAGTTAATCCATGCATTTTTCACTCTTTAAAAACAATGATATAAATTTTGACTAGTAAATAACGTTCCATTTTGATTATAAGAAACATAAATGCATTAATGCATTCTGTTTTGGATAGTGTATAATCACAAAAAGAATTGAAGGAGGTATATCCTTCCAATTGAAGTATATATCGTAGAATTCAATTGGTCTTATAAATACTAAGGAGGTGACTTGACTGACTGTGGCGTGTCTAGTGGCTAGATTAGGACATAATTGTTGGTTGAACTGCCAATGTAGGCCAGTGATTATATATAATGATCACTCCAAAGCTTGGCTCACGTATGTAATCTCTAAGAATTTATACAAGATGAAAGAGAGGTCTATCATTCCATGGGTTGTAAATATAAATGCATCAATTGAGTAGGCCTGTCACCAGATCTTGTTTTCACTGAAACGGGGTATTGGATTTCAAGTTATCAGATAAAATTAGCATCTGTTTGTGTTGGCATGTAGTTTAACTTGCATACCATTAACGTGGCCACATCATGTCTTTTGTTGATGCAAACTTGTACACAAAATTTGATTAAATTTTAATTGGAACAAATTTCTTAGATATTCCTCTCTTGGATCTTTAATTTTCATTCTGTTAATCATGTCCATGAAGTGCTGTACTAAAGCAAAACTGATTTTTACTTGTTCATATATTTTAAAAGTAGTGTAAAATATGCTTCTATCATATTAGACTATCAATTTTTAATTGATACTTATTGACATCCATTTTTGATTTATCCAAATTTGGCATAGAAGATCAAGATGTGATTTCTTATATTTCAGTAGTTGGATTGTTGAGAATCGCATTCCTTAATAAGTTGTTGAATAGTGTCATCGTGTTAAGTTTTACACCGCATCAATCGAGATATACATGATAATTATAAAAAGGAAGCTCAAACACGTGCGCTCTTGTGCATGTAGATCCTGGTATATATAAAGGGCTTTGCCTAACCCTAGCAGCCTCACATTGGCATTGGCCGCTTTAGGAGTCACTACATTGTTTGTTGTGAAGATGCTCTCCTAGTGCCAAATCTTTCAATATATCACTTCTCTTTTTCATTGTAGGGACGATTTGGTGTTGGAGGTATTGATCTCCCCATCTCAATTTTCTCAGCAATCTTTCCTCGATGAAATCTCCCTGATATTAGAATTATTTTGGAATGCTCCTTGTGTATGTCTGTTTGCTGCTTTATTGATCTCCACTATGCATGTGTGAATGCTTGGTCTGGGTGTGTGTGTAGAGAAGATTTAATGCCTTATTATTTTGAATGTTTTGTGAAGATCAATTTAGATATAACCCTAACCACCCAAGATGGTTTGTTATAACCAGCCTCCTTTTCTTGTATATCTTACAATCTGGCTTTTTCCCCTCAAGAGATTTGTGCAATTGTAATGGAGAACCTTGATTTCAGGCATCTCTCTTGTAGTCATTCATTCAATATTTACCATGATTGATTTACATTTGTTATTGTTTGGGTCGATTCCCTTGAATGATTTTGCTTGATGTACTTTGGCTCTAACATCTACTCATGTGGAAATGTTACTATTTAATCAGAAGAAGTACAATTGATGTGCATTTTTGCTTTTAATGTGATGAAGAGTGTTTTGAAAGAACTATGATTGTTCAATGATTAGGAGTTTGAGAGAAAACTGTTGATTCTTAATCAAATGGTTTTGATCCACAACACCAAAGGTCAAGACAGATTTATGCAATAGTATTCAAGATAATATGAGCAAATGTTTTAGTTCGTTTAAAGTGTTTGCACATGAAATATCTTTTAAAGGTTCTGTCCAACCTCAACTTCTAAATCCTTTTATATCTTCTCTCATTTCATTCTTAGTTTCCATTCCTTTAATGCTGTTGTATAATTTATTTTCATTCCTGAGGAGGGGAGGGATTTGAGATGGGATAGTCCGCATTTTGATATATCTGCTGGCATAATAAGGGAGCTTCAGTGCATGTTTTGTGGGGTTCCCCTTCCTGGTCCTTCAGTCATCAATTGGGCTAGTAAGACACTCAACTTACTAAAGCTTTCCCTAGTTTCACCTTTCATCTCAACTATGCATAAGCTTGCAAAGCATGTTTTTCTTTAGTTTTTGTTCCTTGTGTTAATTTGAGGCTCTATAATGAACTATTTTTTCCGCCAAGAATTTGTATAGATTCTTATTGATTTGCTGATATATTCCATGCCTTTTGTTCCAAGATGTCCCTAATGGGGATAGGGCTAGATTTCTCCCAGATGCATAGATCCAATGCTGGTGTTGTAGCAATTGCTGCTTGATGCTTGCATTATGCTTAGGTAGATGAATAAGCTGCTATAGTTAGTTCCGGTTGTTGGATTCTCAGCTAACCCAGCTACTAGTTCTATGTATGATGTGGTATTCTGAGGTGAATGCTCTGGATTCTGGATTGGATAATTGATGTCTGTTAGAGAGAGATTAAGCAAAGAGAAGCAACGTGAGTTCTGATTTTATATCAACCTTGCGAAAAGAAAAATTATGGTTCCATTTGTTGGATGAAGCTTGATTGTCACTGATGTACCTAATTTTTAGAGTTACTTTTATCTCCTATTTTGGAGAGCTGGAGTCCTCAATCATGCTTGGAAGCCTTATTTTAACCTTATTTTTCTCCTGTTGTTGACATTCCTTCTTGAGAAGCCCATATAGAAATCTAAAACTCTAAAGGTCAATTAATTTATTTGGACAATGATATTCAACTGGATTAGTGTTAATGACATGTTGCTGATTAACAAACCCATGGGAGTTCTTTCTCCATCTGGTTGTATTATGTCCTTCCCTAGTTTCTAAAGAATGGCTCGTATATTATTGTTATTATTATTAGTTTTGGTAGGATGGCTCGTACATTATTTCATTGTTTGGGTTGTTGCTTCCTATGAAATTAGTTGAACAAATCATTGAATTGTTTAGAGTCCTAAATTTAAGAGTAGTTTCTCCTCATATGGTTTGCATTATTGGAGGGAAACAAGACGAAAAGTCATTGTGGCAATTCATAGTCTTTGCTTTGCTTTGATGTTTTTAGCTTGTAAGAAGTGATAGTCAAGGGTTTTTCCTTGTCTTTAGAATTCTTAATGGGGTCTGAATATGTTTGCTGTCTCTTTCTTTCAGGAACATTTTTTATTTTAATGCCCCCCCCCCAAAAAAAAAAGGAAAGGAAAGGAAAGGAAAGATGAAATTTTGTAAGAGGTTGACAATTTCTTTGCAATTTTCATGGTGGGACCTAAACTTAATCTTGTCATCCATTTCATGCAATGTTGATACATGAAGGAATCTGCTGTCTTTGTTATTTCTGTTCAGTTGATTCAGGCCTGTCTGTGACTATCGGTTTCATTTTTCATGTGTTTTTTCTTGCGTTCATTTTTCGTTCTATTTCCATATCAGACTTACTTTGCTGTTATTGGTGTTCAGTTTCTGGTGTTCAAAGCCTTTCTTCCAGTGTGCAAAGCACTCCGGAAAAAAATGGTCATTCAGATGAAGCTTCAAGAAGTCCTGAACTCCTTCAAGAGTTCCTGAAATCTGGTCCTAGGAAGGAACTTCTTCGAATGTGCTTTTATAAAGACAGAAAGATCATATCATTGAAAAGAAAGATGCCAGAAACTAAGTCAACCAGTAAGGTAATCAAGAAACAGGACAGCAAAAAAACTTCTACTCTTAGCAACCAGCCCTCTAGGAAGCAAAATAGGAAGAGCAAAAACCCTATAAGGCTCCAGCCAGTTGCTGACCAGCTTTCTGATTTTGGACATTCAGACTGCTGGATCTGTAAAAACTCTGCTTGTAGAGCTGTTCTATCCACAGATGACAAATTTTGTAGAAGGTGCTCTTGCTGTATTTGTCACCTATTTGATAGTAACAAGGATCCTAGTCTTTGGTTGGTATGCTCATCTGAATCTGATGAAGGGGACTCCTGTGGCTTGTCTTGCCATATTGAATGTGCCCTTCAACATGAAAAAGTGGGAGTTGTTGATCATGGGCAACTGATGCAACTAGATGGCGGCTATTGTTGTGCATCCTGTGGTAAAGTTACAGGGATACTTGGGTACGTATTTTTCTTACCTGCCAAGTTCTAAATGATATAAGCACTCCCTCCATCATTCACTGTACTTGCATGTTTTTGCAGCAGAAAATATTCAACAGCTGCAGCTTTTGCTATCCTTGATTCACCTTTTTCCTGGGAAATGGATATCAATATAGCATTACTCTGAACCTTTGATTTCATAGTGAAACAGATGAATGAGACATGATTCCATTATTTGGGATGTGCATGTTAACCAAATTTTCAGATCCGTGTTGATGAAATTGGCAATTTATTTTTAATGGTGGCAGATGTTGGAAGAAGCAGCTAAATATGGCAAAAGATGCTCGGCGAGTTGATGTGCTCTGCTATAGGTTATATTTGAGTTACAAGCTCCTGGATGGGACTTCGAGGTTTAAAGAATTGCATGACACTGTACTAGAGGCAAAAGCAAAGCTAGAGACAGAAGTTGGTCCGGTCAATGGGATTTCCGCAAAGATGGTGCGAGGAATTGTCAGCAGACTCTCTATTGCCAGTGAGGTGCAGAAACTCTGCTCTCTTGCTATTGAGAAAGCTGATGGGTGGCCTTCTGTTGTGAATCCAGATTCTATAGGTTAGAGCAAATTCTTTTTTATATCTTTTGTTCTTCTTAGTTGACGAGCAAGTTTTCTTCATCTGGCATATGCTTTTTAACTCTTGTTTCCCTCTTTTTCCTTTTTGTTTTTTGTTTTTTGTTTTTGCTTTTTTTTTTTTTTTTTGAAAAAACTCAGATGGTTCACTTCCTGCTACCTGCAAATTTGTTTTTGAAGAGGTAACAGCTTCCTCAGTCAAAATCATCTTGATTGACATGTCCATTGCATCTTCCAAGGACATTAAGGGCTACAAGCTCTGGTACTACAAGACTAATGAGGAGCTGCTCACAAAAGATCCTGTTTGTGAGGTCCCAAAAGATCAGAAGAGGATTTTGTTATCCAACCTCCAGCCTTGCACAGAATATACTTTTCGCATTATATCGTATACGGATATGGGTCAGCTGGGTTATTCTGAAGCCAAATGTTTCACCAAGAGCGCTGATCCAACTATAAAAGGTCCCTCCTCACTAATCGATTTAGGTCAAAAAAAAGAGAGCCTTGAAATTGGAGCCAGTTCATCTGGATCCAAAACAGAGCCCAATCCTACAGTAGCAGATTTAGGATTTAAGGTTCGAGACCTTGGGAAAGTTGTGGGTCTTGCTTGGACTCAAGATCAAGGTCCCTTGGAAGGGTTTTGCAGTGTTGATACAAAAAATTGCTGCAGAGAAACTGAAATTGTCAAGCCTAAAATTTCAGACGAGCAGTTGCCTGCAGTTTCACGGGACCTTGATTTAAATGTTGTTTCAGTGCCTGATCTAAATGAAGAACTAGTACCTCCTTTTGAGTCTCCCAAGGATGAAGATAATGGCTACACTTTGCAGAAGGCTGTTGAGGCAGACGATGATGCTGCCTCTCGCTATGCACAGAAAATCAGTTTAGCAAAATCGCATGGTAGTGTTGACTCCCATACCTGGATGAACGGGCCAACCGGAGAAGTTCCAGCTGTTGATTCCCGTGTAGATGCATGCAAGAAAAGGGTAGCTAGCATCAATGAAGAGACACATGATTGCAATAGCACTTTGGCAAATGGCTCTCCTCTTGGAGTATCAGATGGCACTTGCTCCCTGGATGAAAACTATGAGTATTGTGTGAAAGTATTTCGGTGGCTAGAATGTGAGGGTCATATCAAGCAGGAGTTTCGGTTGAAGTTGCTAACATGGTTTAGTTTGAGGTCGACAGAGCAGGAACGCAGGGTTGTCAATACTTTCATTCAAACTTTACTTGATGATCCAAGTAGTTTGGCAGGACAACTGATTGACTCATTTTCCGATATCATATCCAACAAGAGGCCCAGGAATGGATAGCATCGTAAGATGTGAGAGTAGGTTTAAGGCCTTGGAGTTCGCAGAAGCACTAATTGCTTTTTACAGCCAGAAATCACGTCCAATTGCTATTGCTTTCCTTGTACAGGCATTTTTTATTGATCACCTTTCAAAGAGGTTCATTTTTATTGCAGACATAACATATTTTGTCTAGCTGAAAGGATTTGCACCAACCATTGCAGTAACTCATTCTTACTGGGAAGGAAGCTCTTTGGACGAGTTTCAGGATGTAGAAGGCATTTTACTATTTTCTTAATTTCTGCAATTGTATTCAGCTATGGATTTAGTCATGGAATATTCTAATGTTCAAACTTCTATTTAATTTTTATTTGAAGGAACTTGAGATATGGTTCTTCCCCCTGTTTTCTGTTTTTCAGTAGGGAAAGGATAAAGAGTGGCCTAATTCTTGGCATTATATTCACCTCAATCTTAAAAATTGATATTAGTATAAGAAGACTCTAGAGTGTAAACTCATTGGCACGGCTGATTTTGTTTAAAGCTTGTTTCTCTACCTGCCATGAACAGGCAAATGGAAATGCTTTCTCATCCAATGAGTAGAGCAATGATTCTTCTACTATGCTTTTATGTGGGTTTGCTTTGCCTGCTGAATGCTGATTGCCCCTCACAAGGCATTGAAGATCTTTCCTGGCCAAATAAAAAAGGAAGGTATTTAAGTTTTAGTTTTAATTTAATTTAATTTAATTTAATTTTAACCAACGTATTGAAGATATAAAGTCGCCATGAATTGTAAATAACTAGTTGTCTAGGCGTATTGAAGATCACTGTTTGGTTGATGGTGAGTGAGGTGCAATGTTTGGCAAATAATCTCAAATAGTACTTTTCCTACTTTAAATTTTGGATAACGAAACTTTCATAGTGACTTAAATTTATCTGTTATTGATTTGGTTCTTTACATATTCTCAAATTACTATATTAGTTCTTTAAATTTTAAAATACAATTTGACTCACAAATTAAGCTAATGTATGGAGTATATTAATGAGTTGATGTATATGTGTAGTTAATTAAAAATAAATTAGTCATCAAATCAATTTAACTTTTACCAATACAGTCCCTTACCATGTGTTTTGTTCTTTTATTTTTAAAAATTTATGAATTTTTTAAATTACACTTTTTTTCATTAATATACATGGTACAATCAATATTATATTATTTGTCAATACATTTTAACAATATTTCTTCCTCTTTAAACAATAAAGATCAAATCTATAATTAAGATAAATTTAAAGGAGTAAATGGATAAAAATTAAACTTGAGGGGCTAAATTGATAATTGTGTTAAATTTGAGATTAAAAGTTTTATCATCTTTTTAAATTTCATTTTAAAATTGGTAAGTAATACAGCTATGCATCTGCAATTTTTTTTCTTAAAGTTCCCCCAATCTAGGATTAAATTTGCTTCAAATACGGACCAACTTGTAATTCTAAGTAGCCTCCAATCTAGGATTTTTTAAGAGAGTTATTCCATTTAAAGTTGACAATGATTGAATCTGACTCAATAATATCAAATATCAGATCCCATATAAATTAAAAAATATAAATAAAGGCATTTGAGAGAACCTAGCTAGTTAAAAATCCTACATCTTTATTAAGGAACTCTCTAACAAAGTTGAATGATACATCTCTCTATTTTCTATCCATACATATATTTTAAGATATCTTAGAGATCATGATATAAAAATGGAATACAATGGAATGCTAAAAATTACTGACTAAGGTATATTATTTATGGACGTACGGATCATGTTGAATAACTTTTTGAAGGGTATTTTTTAGTCTTTTCTATGTTTGTTGTGTTAAATATAAGGATTAATGAGTTAATAGGATCTGAATTATTATTTGAAAATCACCCTAAACTCTAAACTCTTAAAAGATGCAAAATAAATCCTAAACTTTTAAATTTATAACAAAATAAATCATAACCATTAACTTTTTAACATTATTACTGTTCACGCAGGTACTATTTAAAGTTTATTTTTCTACAAATTTAACCCTGATTGTTACAGTACCTGCATGAACAGTAATAACATTAAAAAAGTTAACAATCAAGTATGAATTTAAAAGTTTAAAATTTATTTTATATATTTTAAAAGTTCAGGATTTAAGATATTTTTGATTAAAAATTCAGGATTTTAATTGCTCATTGACCCTAAAAATAATATGTTTAGCCCTTTCTATGTTAAAATGATTTTCTATCATTTTCTTATGGATAATACACGGCATTTTTTTCTTGATTCTCAAACAGTCCAATCTTTGGTAAGACAGGAACATGTTGTCTACCATTTTGAATTTTTGGCCATTCGTCGTTGTACTTTTGTCAATGCAAATCTTCAATGCTACATGCAAATAGAATTTTCCTCCTTGTGTAGAGAGAACTAGAACCTCATGTCTTTTCTGCTTTGAATCAAAAAGGTTGGTTTATAAGGAAAAGTTCACACCAAACACTTTTTTAGGAGAAAATTAAACTAAAATATAAGACATTAATAATAAATTTATAATTATCAAAGAATATTAATTGAAATCTTAATTTTTTTAAAAAATTATATCTTCTCAATTTTATTCTTATTAAATATCTTATATAAGTATTTTTGATAAAGATAATTAAAAAAATAATTATAGTTGAAAAAAAAGAGTAACAAATGAAGTATAATTATAGTTGAAAAAATAATTATAAAAGTTACTAATATTTTATATTTTAAATTAAATAAAGCTTTTAAAAAATATTTTATTTTAGAATCAGGATATGCAATAAAAAGTGTCACTTAATAAGAATTGTTAAATTTTAACCTTTGACTGGTCAATGGTCATCCGGGTTTGGTTATATAAATGTGATTCATGCAAGCATAGCGTGCGTCATGCTGATGTACGTTCCAGAAGATATTCAACTATGAATAATAATTATCCAATGGGAAAATGATACGTTGCAATAAAATCTTGGTCAAATTGGATTTAATCAGATGATAACGTTATCACAAGTCACAAGTGAGATTTAATATTTTATTTACACTAAAATCACGAATTATGAGCATTTCAATAATTTTAATTTGATTACTATATTCAGATATAACTAATTTTTCTTCCTTTATTGTCCATTCTCTATAACACATGCCAACAAAATTAAACTTTTACTTCCCTACCCTTCTCCCCAATTCTGAATTCTCCTTGAGTCCAAATATGCCCTAACGACGGGATTAATCTCAGAAAGCTTGTTGGTTTAGACTTACTTCAATTTGATCATAATAAAGAAACTAATTAATAATTTACCCTCTTTTTAATTAACATCATTGAAAGATGGGATTGTGATTTTGATGCTCTTTTGGTCCTATTTATAAAATAGAGAAGAAGAAAAAATTTAATCTTATTTATAGGACACTTGCTAAGTCTTAATACCCTTCTTTACATTTTTTTCCTTATTAAATATTTTTGATAAAAATATCAATAATAAAATTTAAGAATATTTATTAAGGGTAAAGGTTTAAAGTTTAAGATAAAGTTATTAAATTTTAAGATAAAGTTAATAAGATTTAAGATTTTTTTTAATTCTAATGAAATATATTAAAAGTGATTTATGAATAAGATTAAAGAGAGTATTGGCTAGTGTCTATGTCAATTGGCTTATTGGTTATAACAGGACAATTTCGAAGATAAGATCTTAAATGTCCCACCACTTAAATGTGGAGATCTCGTGGCAAAAGATTTGACTTAGTTTCTGTTTCTTTAAAACGTATTTCCTCTAAATTATATTATAAATTATTTTTTAAAAGCTCTGTTTGATTTAAAAAATAAAGTATTGAATAAATGTTATATATATTTTTCAATTCTGCCCTTAACTTATTGAGTAATTAATGAGAGTATTTTAAATAAGTCAAATATTATACTCCCCTTGATTCAAAATATAAATATTTTTTCTCAATTAATTTTGATTCAAAATATAAGTAATATAGTATATGTAAAAAAAAATCTCATTTTACCTTTTATATTTATTAGACTACATATTTTGTAAATGTATCTCTTACTCATTATAAAGTGCACTAATAATTGAGATTAAAAGTAAAAAAAAGTAAAATAATATATATATTTTTATAAGAATGAAGACTTTATTAATATGCAAATTTTTTCAAAAATTATTTATATTTTAGACCTTAACTAACTTTTGTAATAAATATAAATTAGTTAACAATGATACTCCACTAGTCCTATTTATAGGACAAAAAAAGAAGAAATGTGGTTCAATTTATAAGACACTTGACAATTTTCAATGATTCTCTTTACATTTTTACCCTTATTAAATACTTTAAATAATAATACCAGTAATGAGATTTAAGAATATTTATTAAGAGTAAAGATGAAAATTTATAAATTTTAAGAAAAAGTTAATAAAGTTTAAAATTTTTTTTGATTATAATAAAACATGTTAAAAATAATTTATACATAAGATCGGAGGAAGTATAGTCTTGAACTTGTGTTAAAAAAATAAAAATAAAAATCTTGACCCCATGAGGAAGAGTAAAAGGATCACATAATGGGTCAGTTCACTCATTTATTAATATTGGTGCATGCATTCAATTCGTTGAGTGTTGAAGAGGTGTACGGTCGTCATCTATAGTAGTTATTATTTGAACCACTTCACCATTCATGTTCATATTTCTCCTTATGCCACGCTATCTTCAATGATACAGATAGTGTGCTGCACGATAACTTAAACTTTTCCTTCACTCTCTCAAATTGGTTTAGAGTATTCCAATCCCATATATCAATAAATAAATAAATAAATAAATAAGGAGACAATAAAACTGTTTACCCCTATATTTTTAGCAAATTTTGATATTATCCCCTGTAAATTTCTTTTGTTACCTATTATCCTTTACATTTCCTTGATCTGTCAGCAATGTTAGTCATTATTGTCACTGAAAAAGTTAAATATACTGATGTTTATATAATTTTATTAATACTGTTATTGATGATCAGTTAGTAAAATTATAATGAGTTGTTGGATATCATGCAAGTAAAATGACTACTATATATAACCTCTTTGTCTTTGTACCCGAAATGTGGCATCTTCCTTTTGAAGCTTTGCTCATCCCATGTTTAAGATTCTGATTTAATGTATTTCTTATTTCTTTTTGCCTTCCACTTATTTTTATATAATTCATTATAATTTTAACAAGTGATCAGCACGATAAGCAACATGGTTTATATGTATTTTAGTCACTGTTAAGTCTTTATCGTATTTAAAGACATAAAGACTAGCTTTGCAAACAAATGAAAATAATTAAGGGACTAGAAGCATAAAAAAAAAGTATGTAAACTAATATCAAAACACGCTGAA